GCCTTTAACAACAACAACATTATTACACAATTTTCATGCACATCTATCATGCATAACTAACAAGCTTATATACATATGTATTCAATCACTACGTAGAAGTTAATTTGCTTTAGCATCCAGAATATATATATGATAATTCTAGATAAATACAACAATTCCGTGAAACCAAACATAAAATTTAACAAATATCTCGTTTATTCAAATCTTAATTTGCATACATCCTTAAATCATGCATAAATTATTAACCCTGGCTATGCCCCTCAATGTTCCTGCACTTTCACCGGATACTTCTCAATGCAATCAGCCCAAGGATTATCCCCTCCCATGTTCACAGCCCTCTTACACTTCCAGACTGTGCTGTTGCATTTAAACCCGCTCCCAAGCCCAATTTGCCAAACTCTATCCCCCTTCTTCATCCTCCCTTTGGCCTCAACATAGCTCAGCTCATACCAAGGCGACGACGACGACGTGTTCCCAAACCGGTGCAGCGTCATCCTCGACGGCTCCACCTGCTCCTCCGTTAGTTTCAGCTTCTTCGACAGCTCCTCGATCACCGCCCTCCCTCCGGCGTGTATGCAGAAATGCTCAAAGGCCTTTCGAAAATCCGGCATGTACCGCTTCTTCATGATGTACCCTAATGCCCATCTCAAGAGTTCGGACAGGGGGAGGACTAGGGGAGCTATAGTGGTTATGTTTTCCTTGAGGGCGGCGCCCGCGATGGCCGTCAGGTTTTTCGAGAGCGAAACTCCAATGTTGCCCTCACCATCCTCTTCCTGGTAGACACAGCGGTAGGCCTCGTCGTTGGCAGCGTGGTTGGTCCGGACGACGTGGACAAGCTCATATTTCGCGCGGCCAGAGTCTGATCGCTTGTTTGAGAGGAGAATCGCGGCGCCGCCCATCCGGAAGAGGCAGTTGGCGAGGAGCATCGACCGGTTGTTCCCGGTGTACCAGTGCTCTGTTATAATCTCCGTGGTAACAACAAGAGCCGTCGAGTTTTTGTGCGCATGGAGCTGCGCTGCGGCGAGGTCGATGGATATCAGACCCGCGCTGCAGCCCATCCCGCCTAAATTGTAGCTTCGAATGTCACTCCTCATCTTGTACTTGTTAACGATCATAGCCGTCAGGGACGGCGTAGGCGAAAACAGGCTGCAGTTGACAACCAATATGTCGATGGCCTTGGGTCGGAGCCGTGTTTTCTCGAATAGAGAGTCGAGCATCGAGAATATGACAAGCTCGGACTCGGCGCGGGAGGCAGCCATCGTAGGCCGAAAGGGGATGACGTGGTGGGAGGCGGGGAGGGCGGTGTCGTCACCGAGGCCAGAGCGCTGGAGGATCTTGCGTTGGAATTCGATGCTGGAAGGCTGGAAGGAGGGGATATTGTGAGTGTGGTACATAAACTTGTTGAAGGGGAAGCGAAATGAATCGGAGGGACGATAACAGGTGAAGTCAACAAAGGTAGGCCATGGCGCGGCGGGTGGAAGGTAGACAAGCGGTGGCAAGCGAAGAGGGTGAGAGGGAGGAGGGAGGAGGAGAGGATGGAGGAGAGGAGGGTTAGGGTTTTGGATAGGTTGAGAGAGAGGTGTTTGATGAGGGAGTCCATCCTTGGTTGTACTATGAAGAAGGTAATTATGAGGTTGATGATCAAGTATTTGAGGTTTTGGTACTTGGCCATGGCTAATGGTGGGATGAGATTGAGAGATTGGAGGTGTATTGTATCGAAGAGGTTGATGAGTATTTATAGGCGCGCTTTTTTAAAAAAAAAAATTCGACAAAAAATAAATAGGCTTATATTTTAGTTTTACGTTGCTTGGAAGCTTCCTTTTCACTTGTATATAAACATTACGTCCACTAATATTAACGAAGATTATGATCAACTTCTCCCAATACTCTATACTTAACAGTAGCAATATATATTTAAGGAATGCAAGTTTACCTGTAACATATATTTCCTATGTGAAAATCAAAACTAATTTATCGACATTTTCTATATGAAAAAAATTGCCTCCAGACCCTAGAGTTGAAAAAATCATGCTCTTGTCTTATAATTAAATTGTCTTCAAATGTATCTAATTTAAAAAAAAAAATCTAAACATGATTCTTACTTAATTCTTTCATATTCCACCAACTCATTTCTCATGGTACAGCCTATTCTCTTCTGTACATCATCCCTTCTCATCCCCCATTTCCCAATCGCCTCCCTCTCCCGCATTCACATCTCATACTTGAACCAAACTCTCCTTTCTTGAATGCCATTATTAGTTTCTTGCTACCTTAATTAGGCTCTTTTTTCTTTTCAAAAAAAAAATTTAAAGCACCGACTTCAAGTAAGGAGTAAAATGTTTTAATTTTGAATTTAAGTGATGAATTTTTTTTTCTCAACATAAAGGATTAAGCAAACCGTATTAAAGAATTGGGCAAATATACAATTGAACTGCAAAGGTTTAAATAACCATGTGATAAACTCCATGAGGATATATGCTAAACTTGTATTGTATATCTTATCTATAGCAACTTTAAGGCAAATAGTTATAATGTGTTTGAAAACTTTTTAGAAATGGATTAAGATTGAACCTGATCTAATTTTAGAAGCTCTTTCTTAATTTGGCAAAAGGATGCGCCAGTATTATCTTTTTTTTTAATAACTAATTTAGAATAGGGCTGGTCTGATGGATTGCGAAGTACATCCTTATTTTAATGTGCCGGGAGTAGGGCTGGGCATATTCGGTTCGGTTCGGTTTTATGTCCAATCCACATCCAATCCGAATTTTTCGGATGCTCAAAACTCTCATCCAGATCCAGATTTTTTCCCCTTCATCAGAATATTCGGCCCAACCGAAATTCAGTTCGGTTCGGTTTGGTTTCGGTTTTGAATTTGCAAAGAGTTCTATCCAAAGACTTCTGTTGTGAATTTGTAAGCTGGGCATTGTCCTCATGATGAGGTTCCTGAACTCGCCAACAAAGTTTTCTTAGACTGGTTATCATCTTTAGAATAAAGTTTTATGTTGATATAATTACGCAGAGAACTGATGTTTTAAAGATGTTGTTCATATAATACAACATACTTATCTCTTGTATGTATCATGTACATAACACATTTTGTGATTGATTTGAATCTTATTTAATTCTCAAGATCTTTTCTGTAAAATTTTTTAACTAAAGTTTAAGTTTATTTAATTACACGGGGGAGTGATGTTTTGTATGATATTGTTCATATAATGTAGCATATGCATCTTTTGTAAGTGCATCATGTGCATAACAAATTTTCTGATTGATTTGAATCTTTACTTAGTTCTCAAGGATATTTTTCTGTGATATTGTTGTACTCATTGCTTGAAATTGCTCCTTACGCCGTTTGAATTTATTGGATGATAACAGGAAAAGTTTTGAGGTATAAGTTTAGTCTTTAAACCGCCCAACAAAATTCGGGTTGGTTTTTTTTGGACGGTTCAGGGGTTCAAACCGGATCCAAACCGATTTAATTCGGTTCGGACGGTTTAGAGACTTCTTCTCATCCATTTAATTCGGTTCAGTTAACCGGTCCGTTTTTTCGGACGGTTTTTTCGGTTGAACCGGTCTTTTTCGGTTTTTGCCCACCCCTACCGGGGAGTACAACATCCGGGTGTGAATTGATTATTTAAACGTTTTTTTAAGCACATGGATTAATAAATATTTCCATCATTCGATATATAGGTTTACTTTCTAGCTTGACGTAATACGCTCTATTTATAGCCAAGCACGATCGAGTAGAGACCATAAATATTGCAGTTGTGTTTGGGCCCAGAGCCCAGCTGCTCCTTTTTATGGAAAAATGCAGTTCAACGTCGACACATAACTTCGTTTTAGGGTGAAGAACTGGACTGACGACAAGCCGACCAATTTCTTCAATTTCAATTTCAATTTTCAACGATAGCTATAGCTACTCTTAACTGAATCTGACCTGTTTAATTTAATGAGTGGAGTGTCACAATCACAACCATCGACCCATAATTAATGATTGTGATTATATATGGTCTCTTCACTGTTTTTTTGATAGTGGAAAGAATCTGAATCTCATCACATGAATTTAGATCATTTCCCCTATAAAAAAAAGTAGTGGATAGACCATTACCTTTAATCTCAATCATTGATTATTGGCGATTATGGTATAATTTAAATTTGACACTCGCCATACCCTAGTGTTCTGTGCTCATTCTTAATTGGAACTCAAAGAAAAAATCACAACCACCAACTCGATAATTATAGTTGTGATTATATAGTGGTTGCTCGACTACTTTTTGATAGTGGAGAGGATCTGAATCCCATCACATGAATTTGAATCATCTCCACTATAAAAAAAGTAGTAGAGAGACCACTACTTTTAATCTTCACTATTGATTATTTAGTAGGTAGTTATGATACAATATAAATTTAACAAGCACCACATCCCGATGTATTGCACTCATTTCTAATTTGCGCTCAAGAAAAAAATTACAACCACCGACTCAATAATTAATGGTTGTGATTATGTTATGTGGTGGTCCCTCTATTAATTTTTTGATAGTGGAGAGGATCTGAATCCCATCACATACATTTGGATCCTCTCCACTATAAAAAAAATTTAGTAGAGAGACCATTATTTTTAATCTCAACTATTGATTATCTAGTAGAATGTTATGATATAATCTAAATTTAACATTCACCATACCCTAATGTATTGCACTAATTCTTAATTTGCACTCAAATAAAAAATCACAACCCCTGACTCGATAATTAATAGTTGTGATTGTCGCGCGCCTTTGCGGAAGCCTTGCACGAACTCACAACGAACCTGTGATCACGAGTAGAAGAAAGCCAAACTCTTGCACAAATCCAAAACCCAATAAAGCCAAATCAATCCAAACAAAGAGATATACGTGGTTCGGCAATTTGCCTACGTCCACGGGGAGAGGATGGGGAGATTTCACTAAATCAAGGAGAGTACAAAGGGTTACAATCACACAAATTCTCTCAAACTAACCCTCAACCAAAGATCTCACCTTGCTCACAATATCTCCCTCTCACAATGCTCAAAAGATTCCTCAATCTCTGATCTAAAATCCTCACAAATCGTTTCCCTATTTATACCAAAACAAAACCCCAATCAGACTGCAAATAGGAAACCTACGTATGCAAAAAACCCGTCGTAAGTTGACTTAACAGAGCTCACAAGTCGACTTGACAGAGAGAAAATCAACAACTGGAGAACACTTCATAAGTCGACTTAACAGACTGTTTGTTTTGAGTTATTCTTCACGTTTTTCACAATTCCTTCGCCGTTTTCACAATTCTCCACCTCGGCGAAGTGTTCCCAACACTGAGCCGACACCAACATGAGCACCAATGTGTCGTCTCTCTAAACTCGGCTGCACCAATGCGGTTGCCTACGTACCCCCTCTCCCAAGGGATCAAGCCGCCCGTAGTTCATCCAAATGGCCGCCAACGGCCTCAACAATTACGAATGTGCAACAAGTTTCGACAATGATCAAACTTGTTGCTCGGAACCACCTTAGTGAGCATATCTGCCGGATTATCCTTCGTGTGGACTTTCACAATTTCCACATCGCCATCTTCAAGAACATCCCGAACGAAGTGATAACGAACGTCAATGTGCTTCGTCCTCGCATGAAAAACCTGATTCTTCGCCAAATATATAGCACTCATGCTATCGCAATGAATAGTGACGGATCGCTGCGATATACCAAGTTCTTCCAAAAGTCCTCGAAGCCAAATAGCCTCCTTCACAGCCTCCGTAACCGCCATATACTCTGCCTCCGTCGTAGACAAAGCCACCGTAGACTGTAAGGTGCATCTCCAACACACCGGCGCACGGGTCAAAGTGAACACATACCCCGTAGTAGACCGGCGCTTATCCAAATCCCCGGCATAATCCGAATCAACATAGCCAATGCATAGCTGCCCACCTGTAGTGTCCCGCTCATAAACCAAACCAACATTGAGCGTACCTCTAATGTACCTCAAAATCCATCTCACGGCGTCCCAATGACCCACTCCTGGATCGTGCATGTATCTCGACACCATGCTCACTGCCTGTGACAAATCCGGCCTCGTACATACCATCGCGTACATCAAGCTCCCAACTGCGCTCGCATATGGAGTCTTCGTCATCAACTCACGGTCTTCAACTGACTTCGGTGAAAGGCCAGCTGAAAGCTTCAAATGGGCTCCCAACGGTACACAAACTGGCTTCGTATCCATGCTAACATGGAATCGCTGTAGAACCTTCTTCAAATAAGCCACCTGTGTCAAACAAATCCTGCCCTTCTTCTTATCTCTGCCGATCTCCATCCCTAAAATGCGCTTCGCCTCGCCCAAGTCCTTCATCTCAAACTCATTCGAAAGCTGAACTTTCAACTCATCTATAGCTGACCTGGAACTAGAAGCAACCAACATGTCATCGACATAAAGCAACAAATAAATGTACGCACCTCCTCTCA